TTCATGCTTTGAAATGTCATGAGGATTGGATGAGATTGAATTTGCTGTGTCGCAAATAAACAGAGCTATATGTGATTTCAAGGAGCTTTCACGTACATTCTCTCATTTAATCTACGCACAATCCCACGAGGGGCATGGTAAATCCATTTTCAAGATGAAGCCACTGCGGAAGGTCAAACCCAGGAGTGACAAAGCCAGGATATAAACCTGGATCTTCTGCCTCCTAAGTCTGAACACGTTCCAATGCACCCAAATTTTGAAAAATATTGTTATTGGCTCTAGCATTGTTCAATGTACTCATTAGACACACCAGGAAGAGGAGGAGGTGGCCAAGAGGGAGGAAGTGGGAGAGAGGAAAGCTTTTGAATTTTCCAAAGAGTCCAGGCTTTGCTATGATTACACACTGTCCTCTTTCTTATCACAGTGGATGGAGCTGCTTGTCTCTGTGTAAACTGTGGCTGCAAAGCCAGAATATGACCTTAAGGGCCAGCCACAGGTGCAGGCTGTTCTTTGGTTAGCGCTGGGTGACTGTTTTAGCAGTAGTATTGCTTTATGTGAAAAGTTGTGTGCCTTCCCCCTGAAACAGCCACTGGAGCTCTGATTAACAAATCCCACGACCCATTATCAGCCTCCAGGCAAATTTTGCTAACTTACTATTTTGATACACTTCTTGGGGCTTCCCTTGGAAATTTCCTGCCCCCCCCCCCCCCACCCGCCCCGCCAAGACTTCCTTTGGCCCACATTCCAGAAGTTGTCCGGTCAGGCTACTCACTATTATTTTTATCTCATTTTCTAGCAAAATCAGCTCAAGAATGGAAACGTGTTGGCCAATGCTTGCAACCATAGGTGGTTGTAATTACTATCAATTGCTGCTGTACAGACCTTTAATTCAATCTAGAACCTGAAACAAGATTCAAGTCATCAGCTAGTCTCCTGGAGCAGAAATCCTGGATATATAGTATCACAAATGAAGGCTAAGGAAAAAGGCCATTCACCTTAAATATTTATGAAGATTAGGTAATGCTTTTTTATTGATGTGGACTTGCGTGACCCCTTTGGAAGACCTATTACCTATGTCCGATTTTATTCATTACTGAGTAGATATGATATAAATTTATCTCAGGAGCCTATCTTATATTTACAAAGTATTTTGAAATGCTTATATGAAAAAATGGACTGGACTAGAGGAATATGAATTATTACTGTAAATTCTAAGCATTAGAGAAGATTGCAACTCCACAAATACTCAATTCTTTCTCATTCTAGTAAATAATGAGATTTTACTAAATTGAACATGAAATATTTATGACTCAAAGCTTAAGTTAATTAAGTAAGTATTAATAAACATGGGAAATATAAAAATGTATAGGATAGTCTTGGCTCTCGGAGAGCTTACAATCTGTCTGAGAAGAAAAAAGAAAAACATAAAAATTAAATGACAATATAAGAGGTGTTGAAAGGCAATATATTGTTAATAACCTTGTGAAATGCAATTAGCAAAGTACGGTAGGTAGAGGAAGGAGAGATCATTTCCAGAAACAGTGGGCAGGGATGATTATAAAATAAAAAACTTATCAACCAAATCTTGAAGGCCGAATCTATTGAAACAGAGATGGAGGAGGGGATTCTTGGTGGAAAGAACCCAATGAGAAAACAAAACAAAACAAAAAAGAACCCAATGAGAAAGAGTACAGATGGGGGGGGGGGAGAAGACAAGTATAGACCCAAAAAAGGAAAAAAAGGAAAAAGAACACAGAACGGCAAGTTAGGGTGACAGGGACAATTGTACTGCAATATAGTGCTGGAAAGGCCACTTGGAACTAGACCTTTACGCCAAGTTAAGGAGTGAAGGTCTCTGACCTCGGCAGCATCTTGCTTCATTTTTTTTTATAATAAATTTATTTTTTATTGGTGTTCAATTTGCCTACTTACAGAATAAACCCAGCATCATGCTTCAAAACAGCGTTTTAGAAATATTAATTTGACCCTGGCATGCCAGATTAAATTGAGATGCAAGGGAGATGCAGAGGCTGGCAGATGCAGACCATGATTGTGGGATGGAAAGGGAGGTGGGGGTAGTAACCATGGAGGAAGAAGCCTACCACCTCTCCTCACACTTAGTAGCATTTATCCTTGGAGCTTCCTGTTCTTTTTTGTAAAGTACTGTCAAATGAGGGGTCCTGAAAAACTGATTCATTCTGGCAGTTTCCAGGAGGGAATGGGGAAATGGCGGAGCTATTCCTTTTGAACTTGCAACATGTAACAGCTGTATAAGTGGATACGGTGAACCTTTTCTTTTTAATCTATATCCTCATCTAAGGACCGAAAAAGGCAGCTCGAAAGTTCCTCCCTCCCAAAGTGTCATGAAATGTAGGATTTAAAGGAGATCAGAGACCATTTTATTTTAAAAGAAAGCTAACTCTAGGGGTACCTGGTGCCTCAGTGGTTGAGCATCTGCCTCTGGCTCAGGGCATGATCCTGGGGTCCTGGGATCGAGTCCCCAGTTGGGCTCCCCGCGGGGAACCTGCTTCTCCCTCTGCCTATGTCTCTGCCTCTCTCTCTCTCTCTCTGTGTGTGTGTCTCTCATGAATAAATAAGATCTTAAAAAGAAAAAAAAAGAAAAGAAAGCTAGCTCTAGTTGAATGCAGGCTATTCTGAACTTTTCCATAAGTACAAGTGAAAGAAAGCCCCAAGAATGCCAGGGACCCCTTTATGTCCGCAGCCCTATGTTGGAACTCCTATTAAAATAACTTTCTGGGATAAATGGATAAAGAAGATGTGGTCTATGTATACAATGGAATATTACTCAGCTATTAGAAACGACAAGTACCCACCATTTGCTTCGACGTGGATGGAACTGGAGGGTATTATGCTGAGTGAAGTAAGTCAATTGGAGAAGGAAAAACATTATATGGTCTCATTCATTTGGGGAATATAAAAAATAGTGAAAGGGAATAAAGGGGAAAGGAGAAAAAATAAGTGGGAAATATCAGAAAGGGAGACAATACATGAAAGACTCCTAACTCTGGGAAAGGAACTAGGGGTGGTGGTAGGGGAGGTGGGCGGGGGTTGGGGGTGACTGGGTGGCGGGCACTGAGGTGGGCACTTGACGGGATGAGCACTGGGTGTTATTCTGTATGTTGACAAATTGAACACCAATAAAAAATAAATTTACTTTAAAAATTAAAAAAAAAATAACTTTCTGGGCATCCCTGGGTGGCTCAGCGGTTTAGCGCCTGCCTTTGGCCCAGGGCGCGATCCTCGAGTCCCGGGATCGAGTCCCACGTCGGGCTCCCTGCATGGAGCCTGCTTCTCCCTCTGCCTGTGTCTCTGCCTCTCTCTCTATGTGTCTATCATGAACAAATAAATAAATCTCAAAAAAAAATAACTTTCTGGTTTTGAATATTTGTGATCAAACGTATTTATTATCCAGAAATCTGGGGGGAGTTTGATGTATCTCTGAGTGAGCAGGGGAAAAAGCTTCAATCCAAATCTCATGTCCGGACACGTGGTTTATACATATGTATACAAATGCTCAGATCTATACATAGCGTATACACATACAAGTACACAGACATGTATCCCGATGGTAATGTTACTGGCATCCGGGGCCTCGCAGGGAAATCTACAACCACCTCCTGGCTTTATCGCTCACAGAAATGCAATCCCTTGGCCCATCACGGGCACTTGGGCTTGGCACACACTCTTCCAGTAACACCTCTTGACGCAGAGACGGTGCAGGATAGAAAGCCTCCTCCCCACATTCCCTCCACCTCGCTCCACGGCCCAGCACTCAGAACCCCTTTCCTGGGCAGCGACAAAGGCAACTCTTTCCAACCCCGTGGCTATTTTGAGTCTGCCTCTTGAGGGCGGCAACAGAAGGAAGCCTGAAGGGGGAGGGAGATGCGAGTTGGCAGTGACAGGTAACCGAGGCTGAACTCGGGGTGCAGCCCCTGTACCTCCCCCTCTTTCTGGCACCCCTCCTTTCCTTACTCTCCCCCCTTCACCACCTCCCCAAGTTGGCAGAACCAGGCTGACAAGTCCTGGCGCAGGGGTGAATAAACAAATCACCCACACCCACACCCACCCTGCCTTCCAACACTGATTGATTATCCAGTTTGGGCCTAAAGCAAGTGTTTATGTTTGGATTTAAGTAAGGGAAGGTGGTTAAAACTGCTGGACTTTATAAGCGGAGTAAGCCTTGCTTTTTAGCTCTTGACTTGGGTAGCTGTGCAAACCCAGTCTCTCTCTCCTCAAGGTAAGAATATGAGTTTGGTCCAGACGTGGATGCTCCTCCCTCCAGCCCCTCTTCCCTTTTACTCCAATGCTAGAAGGGTGTTGTGAGCATTGCATAATGTTTTCGTGCACCCTTACATGGGTAATTAGAAGCTGTTTACTTCTCAAGGATTCCATTAAAGGCTTTTTTATTTTCAAGGCTGAGCTGAGGACTCGGGGGCGGCGGGATTAGAGAGGGGGCTTGCAGTCCAGCAGCTATACCCTGTGCCTTCAGCGTGGCTGTTCCCCCACACAGAATCCCGCCCACTGATAGGCTAACGACTCACCAATTTCCAACGGATTCACTGGCCAACTCAAAAACCACTGATGGAGCCTTAAGTGCTATAGGACTACTAATCCTCTTGAGTATTTACGTATTTCTCTGCTCTCATCCCTCCAAAGCTAATGCTAGAGTTTTCAGAATCTGGGAACGTGGGCCAAGGAGAAAGCCACCGAGCAGCCCGAGGGAATCCGAAATGACAGCTCGTTATGTCCACCAAAACTACCGGTGCCTTTTCGTCTGTATTGACCCAGCTCAAAATATCAAGTCACATCGTGAGCAGTAAAACACAAAACGCAGGTGTTGCTGCCGAATGTGAAAAGGTCTGAAACGCAATTAAAGGTGTCCTTTTGTTTGGGGCGGTGTCCTTGATTCTGCGTTAACATTTGCGTCTTCCTTAAGCCTCTCTTTACGATATCGACACACGCTGTTGCATCATACTCACATATTCATTAGCTGGGGGGGCTGGGGGGGGTGTGATTTTCCCACCGGTCCTCAGCGTTAGCTGTCAGATGCACAGACCTTCGCTTCCTTTCTGCTTCTACCGCGCTGGAACAGAAGCTGCTCGCAAGAGCGCCCAGGGAGCGGTCTCGGCAGATGCGCGGTTTGCTCCGGCGAGGCGCTCTGCTGGAAAGTTTCCTCTAACCACTAACACCCGCCTCCGATCCCCCCCGAGCTGGCAGGACGCGGGCTGGCTGGGTCCCCTCCGGACGGGGGAAGGGTTTACGCACACTCTGCCGGGCTGCGGATCCGAGACACGGCCTCGCAGCCCCACTCCTCCAACCGCAGCGGACAGACGGTCCGGGGCGCTCGGGCGCCGGGAGAACCGCGGGGTCCCCTTCCCGCGGAGGGGAGCGCGCGCTCTGCCCCGCAGGGAGCCGGGGCCCCCGAGGTAGAGAGGATGCCAGAGGGGGGAGGGGGAGGGGGAGGGGAGGGAGAGCGGGAGCTGCGGGGGCGGCGGGAACGCGGGCGCGGAAGGGGGGCGCAGGGCCCTGGCCCCCGCGGGCGCTGCCAGGGGCGCGCTCGCGGGCGGCGGCGGGCGCGGGGGCGGCGCTCGTGCGGCGATCTGCCCCGGACACCCCCGAGCGGCTGAACCGCGGGTGGGAGGGGGTGGGTGGGTGGGGGGGGGTGCGGGGAGTTCGGATGCGGGGGGTGGGGGGGGGTGAACCAGAGAGGGGCGTGCCTTTGCCCGGATTGGCTGCAGGAGCCTGACGCGAGGTCCCGGGGGTTGGCTCGGGGGAGTGGGAGCGGGGTGGGGTGGGTGCCGGGTGCCGGGGCCGCGGGCTCGGCGCGCTCAGAAACATGCTGAGGTCCCGGCGGCTGTTGCAGCAGCGGCAGCGGCTCCAGCAGCGGCTCCAGCAGCGGCTCCGGCAGCGGCTCCAGCGGCAGCAGCAGCAGCAGCAGCGGCGGCGGCGGCGGCGGCGGCGGCAGCGCACGGCTCCCGCGGGGAAGGCGCCCGGCGCCCATGCCTCCGGCCCCGCGCGGCGGCTGCCCTGACCCGGCCGCGACCTCCGCGCCCCACGTCCCCCGGCGTGGTCCCCGGCCACGGCCCCAGCCCGCCCCAGCCCCCGCCCCCGCCCCCGGCCCCGGCCTCCGCAGCTCGGCATGGGCGCGGGGGCGCTCGCCCTGGGCGCCTCCGAGCCCTGCAACCTGTCGTCGGCCGCGCCGCTCCCCGACGGCGCGGGCGCGGCCACGGCGGCGAGGCTGCTGGTGCCCGCGTCGCCGTCCGCCTCGCCGCTGGCCCCGACCAGCGAGGGCCCCGCGCCGCTGTCGCAGCAGTGGACGGCGGGCATCGGCCTGCTGATGGCGCTCATCGTGCTGCTCATCGTGGCGGGCAACGTGCTGGTGATCGCGGCCATCGCCAAGACGCCGCGGCTGCAGACGCTCACCAACCTGTTCATCATGTCCCTGGCCAGCGCCGACCTCGTCATGGGGCTGCTGGTGGTGCCCTTCGGGGCCACGATCGTCATGCGGGGCCGCTGGGAGTACGGCTCCTTCCTGTGCGAGCTCTGGACCTCGGTGGACGTGCTGTGCGTCACGGCCAGCATCGAGACCCTGTGTGTCATCGCGCTGGACCGCTACCTGGCCATCACCGCGCCCTTCCGCTACCAGAGCCTGCTGACGCGCGCGCGCGCGCGGGCCCTCGTGTGCACCGTGTGGGCCATCTCGGCGCTCGTGTCCTTCCTGCCCATCCTCATGCACTGGTGGCGGGCCGGGGGCGACGAGGCGCGCCGCTGCTACAACGACCCCAAGTGCTGCGACTTCGTCACCAACCGGGCCTACGCCATCGCCTCGTCCGTCGTCTCCTTCTACGTGCCCCTGTGCATCATGGCCTTCGTGTACCTGCGCGTGTTCCGCGAGGCGCAGAAGCAGGTGAAGAAGATCGACAGCTGCGAGCGCCGCTTCCTGGGCGGCCCCGCGCGGCCCCCCGCGCCCGCGCCCGCGCCCCCGCCCGCGCCCGCGCCCCGCGCCCGGCTCCCCGCGCCCCGCCGCGGCCGCCCCGCTGGCCAACGGGCGCGCCGGCCGGCGGCGGCCCTCGCGCCTCGTGGCGCTGCGCGAGCAGAAGGCGCTCAAGACGCTGGGCATCATCATGGGCGTGTTCACGCTGTGCTGGCTGCCCTTCTTCCTGGCCAACGTGGTCAAGGCCTTCCACCGCGACCTGGTGCCCGACCGCCTCTTCGTCTTCTTCAACTGGCTGGGCTACGCCAACTCGGCCTTCAACCCCATCATCTACTGCCGCAGCCCCGACTTCCGCAGGGCCTTCCAGCGCCTGCTGTGCTGCGCGCGCCGCGCCGCCCGCGGGAGCCACCGGGCCGCCGGGGACCCTCCGCGGGCGCGGCCGCCGCCGTCCCCCGGGGCCGCCTCGGACGACGACGACGACGACGACGACGAGGACGACGCCGGGGCCGCGCCGCCCGCGCGCCTGCTGGAGCCCTGGGCCGGCTGCAACGGCGGGGCGGCGGCCGACAGCGACTCCAGCCTGGACGGCGCGGGCCGCCCCGCGGGCGCCTCGGAATCCCGGGTGTAGCCGCGCGCGCCCCCCCCCGCGCGCCCCTCCCCGCGCCCCGGGGGACGCCTCGGCGTTTGCTCCAGACCCAGAGCAGGTGAACTCCAGGCCCGCGCACCCCCGTCTCATTCATCCGACGCAGACGCGCAAAAGCCACGGACCCGACCGTTGCGCACGCAGGGGAGTTTGGGGAGGCGCGGGAGAGTGGCTCGCACATCTGCCTTGGGTTCCTTTTTTCTTTCTTTCTTCCTTTCTTTCTTCTTTTCCTCCCCCCCCCCCCCCCGTGTGTGTGCTTCGGCCTTTTCTTTCTTTGGTGTGTGCGTGTGATGCATCTTCGGTTTCTGGAGTTGTCTTTATTCCCCACCCCCGCTCCACCCCCCCGCCGCCTCCAGGTGGTTTGTGACACTTGCTTCCAGGACTGGGTAGCAGCGGAAGGGAGAAGCGTCGAGGTCTATCGGGCTTGGCTTCGCGTTCCGTTCTGGGGCACAGGAGCCAGCAGTCGGAGACACAGGAGGGAATGACAGCGGCTAGGACAGATTTCCTTTGCTTTCCAGAGAAATTTCATTTTTAACTCCTCTGAGTAATGATTTTTTTCCTGTCCTTAAAGCAAAGGGGGAAGAAAGGATGGATATGCAAAAAAAAAAAAAAAAAGTCACGTTTCAAGAAATTTTAAGCTATTCTTGGAACAAGCCTCACCTTGCTTTCTTTTTTGTAGGGCACACCTGCTGTCCCCGCGCGCCTCGGTGGTCAGGCTGAGGGGTTTCTACCTCACACTGTGCACATTGCACAGCAAGATAGAAAGACTTGTTTATATTAAACAGCTTATTTATGTATCAATACCAGTTGGGAGGACCAGGCGCTGAGCCTCTGAGACATGTGACTCTGTCCATTGAAGACAGGACAGGAAAAAAAAAAAAAAAACCCACAAACAAACCCCAAAAGGAAACAGTTCAGATTACTGCACACATGCGTTTAAAAACAAAACAAAACAAAACAAAACACAAAACAAGGAGTGGTTCCAAATACCATTTTTGCACAGTGTTAGGAATTGTAAAGTCCACACGAGATACTACTTGCACAAAAAGAAATGAAATATTTTTTAACGGGGCCGGGGGCAGATCTTACAAAACTAAAATAAAATTCAGACTCTACTTCTGTTGTCTGTTATGTTATTGAGCTAATGATTTATTGGGAAAAATACATTTTTATACTCTTTTATCATGGTACTGTAACTGTATCCATATTATAAATATAATTACCTTAAGGATTTTTATTATTATTTTTTTATGTCCAAGTGCCCACGTGAATCTGCTGGTAAAATTTAGCACTCGTGTGTAAATGGTATTTCCTCTGTCTGTTCTACCAAGTATTTATACTCTGGTGCAACTAACTACTGTGTGAGGGATTGGTCCATGTGCAATAAATACCAATGAAGCACAATCAAGATTATGTGCCGTGTGTCTGTAAGGGGTCAGTGATAATGGAAAAGACAGTTTGTTTTGTTCAAAATATAGGCTGGGTTTCCCATAGAGCTCTTTTAATAGCTTTTCATGACTCAGTAACATAGCAAAATGCCTCTAGACCAAATAAGGCATGCACCTACTGAGAGCTGCAGACTTGCCCTAAATTTTCACAGTCGGATTCAAGGTATCCTAGACTACTTATAGTTGTTTTCAAGATCCCATCTGCTGCACTTGACTTAAGAAGTGACATTTGGGATTGTGTATCTTTAAAAAAAAAAAAAAAGTGATAGAGCCAGGTAAATCAACTGCAACTTTGCACAGAAACGCAAGGGGGAAAAAAAACTACCTCCTTGAATAATGAGTTGCCTGCCAGAGCGAGGTAAGTGGCTTCCACAGCTTGTTTTTCTTTTCCAGTAGAAAATCACAGCTTACAGATGATGATCAGTCTGTGCAGATTTCTCCAGTGGCCGTTTAGAGTGAAAAGTGCTTTTATGCTTAAGCAAAAAATTTATAAAAACAGCTTTTAAGTAAACATTTTTTTTCTCTTATGTAATTAAATAGACCATTTTCCCAGAATTTGGGGGTGGACACAGGTAAAAGCAAATGTGAAAATTTTTAACTCCCTAGCAAAAGTGTGACGCCCAAATGGATAGGATATTTTCCATAAAATTGGTTTCTAAAGAAAGTATAGTGAAATAGCATCCTGGGATTAGTTCTACACTTCTCCAAAATGAGTTTAAGTATTTATCTTTTTATTTTTAAACAAGCTTTATATTTCATGATCGTATAGTAAATAAACCAAATGGAGGATTATAAGGTTTTGACTCATTCTGGGCTTTAGCATGAAGAAACTATTCCCTGCTAAGGAAAGTCAAGATTGATTATCTTTTTTTTTTTTTTTTGTGATGGAATATTCTAAAGACCAGGAGACAGTCTTCTGAGAAAGGTTAATGATGTAGATGTGTTGGAGACCAACAGAAGGTTATATGAACAAAAGATGCTATGAAGTTTAACCCCTTTCTCCAGGAAAAAAAAAAAAAGGAAGGAAGGAAGGAAGGAAGGAAGGAGTGGGAGGGGCAAAATGGCAAAACTTATTTAAAGAAAAATACTGAAAGAAACTTGGTTTGGAGAATATAAAATCAATCTCAGGTTGAAATCTCACTCCTTCCCCAAGAAATAGATAGAGCCTACTTTGTCCTCCTTTATGCCACCATGAGTATGTAAGATGCATTTTGTTAGGGGTTTTGTTCTTCTTTATTTTAATTTATACTAGAAAATTGATAGACAACTCCTACAGTTTCATCTGACAAACACTCAAACGCCAGGGTAATGTTTCCCTCTCCTGACTTCCTCATTGTTATTTTGTTTAGATAAGTCTTTGTGCCTAAATAAAAAGACAGTTTCCCAGCCCCAATTTCCAGGCCCATCAAAACTCAGGTCTTAAAATCATGACACTCCTTTAAACTTTAATAAACAAATATGTATAGTTTAACTACTTGGTCTAAACTCTTGAATGAATTACAAGAAACAACTCTAATCTTGGGTCCAGTTGGTATGTATTTGTAGGAAATAGAGAAAGATTTTTCTAGGATCCCTTGAGTACCCTGAGGATTATGAAGATTCTGAAACAGACCGAGTCAGTGATTTCCAGCTACCCATGATAACTCCTTTTTGGTTTTTTTTGAAGAAGACAAACACTGATTTATGACAGACATGCAGGAAAGGGGGGCTGTCATTCCCAACAGCTCATGGCAACTAGAGAACTGTCGATCCTGTTTAATCTGGTGAAATAAGACACACCACAAGGGATAGAGGACAGCAATGAATATCCAGAAAATCAACCTCATGCCGTGAGTTTGTGTGCAACAAATTCCAAAGGATTAAACCTTAAAACAGTGACCTTCAATGTGATCCAACGTCACTGATTCACTACACTGGAAATTATGTTTAGATTGTGCAAAGTTCTCTAGCGTGTAACAAGATATTCCAGCATCTACAAATTCTCTCTTCAGTGCAGAAATGTGGGCTTGTTATAGCATATAGGTGAATCCTTTGGCAAACTTGCCTACGTAAAACTTCACAAATGGGGTTTATTTTTTTCGGTCGGTGCTTTCTTTGGAACTGGAATTATTAATAAGTGCTTTTTGGGAATTACTAATAACTTCTAAGTGGCTATTGTGAAACCTTTCCTTGTGAGGCACATTCTCCTAGCTTATTTTAATTTTGTATTCTGAACATGCTAACTTCCTCTGGCAATATGTAAAATTGTCAGGCGGAAATTCTGCACCCAAAGTATCAGGATGATATTATCATTTCAAGTTTTTAGCAAGAGCTTCTAAGCAAGGGTCTAAAGGGAAATTAAGTTTTGCTGCCATATGTGTAAAGCTTTAAAAGAAATTTTTTTTTAACAAAGCTGGACTCATTAGTTCTTTTGAAGGAAAAAACACAAATAAAGAACCTTCGCAGTAATTCAAATTAAACCCATTGGCACGGATAATTTAGTTTTATTTTGTACATTTCTGGCATATTGTGCTGAGAAATACTAATTCTTTTGAATCCCTGCCAATTTGCTACTAATCAAAATGGAGAAGATATGCACTGTTTGGATTATACCTAAAAATAGTTGTGCTACAGTCACATCAGCAAATGGAATTAAATTAATTTCTCTCTCTCTTCTCCTTCACACATAACCCTCCACGTTATTTAAATTTCCATCAAGAATCTTGCTCCTGAATCTCAGAATTTGGAATTCAGTATGTCCTAAATGGCATTGCTACATTGCAATGATTTTTTTAAGCAAACTCCACTGGACTACTTTCTGAGACATACACCTCTCCCGAAATTCCCACTTTTACCTTGCTTTCATTTAAAGAGTAAATGAAATAGCCCTGAGAATGTAATCAAAGAGGTGGTAATACTATTAATAGGTGCTTTGTGGATTAATTTCCCTTCAGCAGAGTCTTTTTACCCTTTTGTGGAAGGAGGGAGATAGTTTCTGAATCAATAAGATTTGGTCATTTGACGGAGCAGTTAATAGGCTTCCAAATCTAACTGCTCTGAAGAGCAGAGCAGCCCCAAGGAAAAGTTTATGCTATAACGTCATCATGAGAGCATAATCTTTGCAGTATTGTCAGCAGGACCCAAGAAAGCACTGGAAATAACCGTCTACACCCTTTAAACCTTTGCCTTTCACTTGCATGTTGTGCAAAGATCACTCTGAACACATGTCTACCTTCTGTACCTGCTTGTCTGGGAGCCACCACACTCCCTTAGCGCTTCTCTTGAGCACTTCCTCAGTTCTTGAATGAACTGAAATATCTAGAACATCTAATTCTAGATAAATTATCTTCATAGCAGCACTAATTTCTCATGAACAGTTTCCTAAGGCTCTGATTTTCAACATGTCTCAATGCTTTCATTATAATTCCTTTCTACTCTCTCCACATTCCCTTGCTCATAGCTGTTAATTAGTATTAGCAAGATCAAGCTGTTTTCTTCCTATTTATGCCACAAAACTTAACCTATGATGATGCATTTTAAATGTGTTCAGTTTGGATTTCTTCCTGAGAATTTCAGTATTGCTCATAATTACAAATGAAAAAAATGTTTTAAGGATTGTTTGTACATTTCCTATAAAAGGTCTTCATGTTGAGTGTAGGGTGTGGGGTTTTCTTAGGCTTTATTTTTCTGTTTTTCTTGACTTTTCACTTTTTAACCAAATGACCTTGTCAGTCTTTCACTATCCTGATTGTAAAGGATAACATCAGCTAGTCCACCTTCAACTATGTGTAAATCAGTTTTCAAGTCATTATTGAAAGGTGAGCTTGGGTAAATTTCTGTTCTTGGAGAGAGAGAGAGAAATTAAAAAAAACAAAAAACAAAAAAAACACTTGTTCAAATAGATGGTCCAAAGACTTTGGCTGCTCTGGCTGGCCACTGGGGCCAGTGACCTTGGGAAAGTGGGTTGGTTTCCCTACCACTCAGGTTCACTTCCCACAAAGCCTGATCAGGAGGCTTTGTTTGTGAAACCCTTTGAGATAGGAGTTTATTGCTTTGCAAAGTCTATCATTTCAAGTACTTCCTCCTTTCTTTTCCCTTTCCTTGTAACTCCACCCACAAAATCCCTGGTTGTTGGGTTTTTTTTTTCTTTTTAAGTGAAAGGAAAGGCTAAAAAGAGCAAAATATATATGTATAATACCCCATGAATCCAAACAAACAGTCCTTCACTTTTTATCACATTTAAAGTTCTGCAGAAACCTCAGCTAAATAAAATAACCTCTCTAAACATCGGCTTAAAAAACCTGTTTGCCGTGTGCTAAGCAAAAAATGGTTGTTTAATGATTTTTCACCCACAGCCACTTTGAGAAAAAATGTAAGTCAATTTGGAAAGTTGCTCACCTCTACAATTTTGCATCGAGTTGTAAATGCTAAAAGCGACTCCCTGGATTGTTCTCTTTTTCTGGACATAGCAATTCAGAGATGAAAAATGCTGAGAGCAATGGGAGTTGGTCTTTTTGTTTACCTCTTTTGTGGCTTGGAGGGTATTGGATTTCTTCCTTCCCAACCTAACAGTGACAAACCTACGGGAACTTTACTGACGTAACATATCTGTTAACGTTAACTGGAGGAATTCACCTACCATCTTAATGTCCTTGTTAAAAATGCTTTTAAAAAGTAAACATGAGGGATCCCTGGGTGGCGCAGCGGTTTGGCGCCTGCCTTTGGCCCAGGGCGCGATCCTGGATCGAATCCCACGTCGGGCTCCCTGCATGGAGCCTGCTTCTCCCTCTGCCTGTGTCTCTGCCCCCCCCCCCCCGTGACTATCATAAATAAATAAAAATAAAATTAAAAAAATAAAATAAAAAGTAAACATGAATAGATGTTCCAATGACATTTTCTGCCACCCCAGGGAGTTTTCTAAAGCCATTAGAGGTATTACATTTTAGTAAGACACTCCTCTTAAAGAATTCCTTGTGC